TCAAGGAAGGATCCCCCGCCAAAGTCCGCTCTAAGGACTCGGTCCACCAGGGATGCTCAGCAGACAAGCTGGGATCGCCGGTGAAGTTAGAGGGTGCAGAGGGAATCGCCTCCCATGTCTTGTCATGGTCGAGCTCGCCCTTGATTCCCATCTCTTTTAGCTGGCGCTCGACCTCCTCCATACTGTAGGTATAGAAGTCCATCCCCATCTCAGCGGCCTCCTTAAGGAACGCCGTCGAGCACAAGTATCTTTGATCAGCTGCTCCCGATAGGCCTGGAGGATAGTCTGACCAAATTGGGTCCTCCACAAAGCCCGATGAGACTGCTCAATCGCAGTGATAGCAGCAGCATCGACTTTTTTCTTTCGACCAGCCCTCTCCACTTCAAGGGCCTTATCCTTGCCCTTCAACGCATCCTTGTAGCGCTGCTCGTCTTTCTTCAGCTGCTCAGCCAAGGCGTGGCGTGTTTTGAGTAGGTCCTCATTCTCGGCCTTTAACCTCCTATTCTCCTCCTCGAGGCGCCTGTTGTCGCCCTCGAGTACAGGAATCGGGCGACCAATGCCATTCATCGTCTCCTCGAGGAGAGGCACGATGGAGACCAGAGTCTGTAGCAAAAAGAAGAATGAGAAGGACGCAAAGCAGGATACTCGAAGACAATGCTAGAAAGGAAATATACCTGTGTCACTGCGCGGATGCCATATTCGGATTAATTTCGACGATTCACCCCCCATCGGTGCGTATCGTCGAATGGCAGGAAGCTCATCAACCGAGACACAGCCTCTCGAGGTCCAGCTGACACCAAGGTGAGAGAAGGAGCTTGTTGTGAAAGGGGATTCTCTGTTGAAGTCGCCTCAAGCTGTGACCGCTTGGTGGAAGGCGGAGGATTGGCGGAGTGTGGACCAGTCACCTCGGACCGAGGGCGTTTCTTGGATGCATCTCCCTCTCTGTTCGAATGACTAGAGTGGCGCTCGACTTGCCTGGGCGGAGAAGGAGGAGCCCGTTGTTTGCTCGAGTGAGAGGAAGCGCCAGCACTGGATTTTTCCGGTCGAGAGGCCACGTCTTTGGTCGAGGATTGCCCCTTAGCCTTCTCGACATTGGCTGAGGTGTCCTTATGAGTGGACCTCCTATCGCCAGATTTTTTGAGGTCGGGTTTGTGCAAAAATCCCTCTGCATGAATAACGGAGTTAGTCAAAAGTTCGTCGATGACATAAAAAGTAATAAATTCAAAGCATATAATAATGATGACCCGAGCACCTACTCGAGCTGTCTTATTAACTTCAGCGAGTTTAGGATCGACGCGAATTTGGAGAATGGTCTCGGCGAGAGGAGGAGAAAATTTTGTATGGGTCAAAATTCCACAATGGTGGAGGAGGTTATCATCTTCGAGTAAAGGGGTAGAGGCGACGGGATTCGAGTCCCACACTTGTATACGGCGGTCGAAGATTGGGTTGGTAGGAGGACGAGCAGGTTTTAGGGGCACCTCTATGAACCAGGGGGTGGGCGCCCAAGGGTAAGGCTGCGGGGGACGTATATACACAAACTGATCTTTCCATCTCGGAACATTGGATGGTCGATCAGTAATGAAACAAGCTTTATTCGGGCTTTTTAAATAGAGGTCGTCTGATTGTTTCGAAGCAAAATAGCAATAAACAAAGAAGTCTAAATCTACTCTACCCATGAATACCATGGACAAAATGATAAAGGACGCTAATGTCCTGAAGGCGTTGGGGGTGATTTGGTTGAGGGGCAGGCCATACAAACCGCACAGGTCGATCAAAGCCTGGCAGATAGGGAAACGAAGGCCTAGGTCGAAATGGGATCGGAAGAAGGTGTAATAGCCGTCTGGAGGGTTATCGTAGGTATCATCATCATCAGGGGTACGAGCAGTCTCGAGATGACCAATCGAATTGAAGTCGAGACGGGTAACGCTCGAAGATGGTCTAGATGATTTGGACCGTTTGGATGTCTTGGGTCGAGGGGAACGAGAAGGTATGGTCGAAGAGACAGGGGCACGAGAGGACAGAGGAACAAAGTCTTTGGGATCACGAGCAGACAACGGGAGGTGGTCCTGAGGATCGTCCTCGTCTTCGATCTCGTCATCTTGACCGATAGCTCGACGAGCACGCGCGGGAGGAGAAGGAGGGCGGCTGGTAACCTCATTCTCCGGTTGGTCGACAAGATAGGTGGAGGGAAAGATAGCAGTGGCTGTAGGGCTATCGCTGATCGTCGCAGGGGGGAGGATGGAAATGGGCTCAGACTGAAGAATTTCTTGTACAGAATCGCTCGTTAGGCCGGGGGTCGCAGAAGAAGAAGGGGGAGTCAGGTCCTTCCCGCTGTATCGATCATTCTCACTCGAAGTAGCAGAATCTGAGATAAAAGAAAGAAAAATTGTAATTAATCGAAAGAAAGAGCAAAAGCGGAGAAGAAGGTGGAAAAGAATGGAGGAGAGCACAGTGGGAAGGACGAACAAAGGGCGTGGCCAGAATCGAAAAGAAGTTTGAGGGAAAGAGGAGGAACCCGAAAATTAAAACCTAACAAACATAAATTGAAAAGCTAAGAAGACTTACTCATAGTGAATGACGGAGAGCTTGCAGATAGGACGAAGAATTCAAGGTTGCAGGATGCTCGACGGTTACAAAAAGCTCTAGTGCGATGGAGTGCGATAGTGGAGAAAAAGAGAAAATTTTCCTAAGTGTGGATATTTATAAGGGCAAAAAGTGAATGGGAAAAATCGTCGACCGCAGGATCATAAATAATGAACGGCTGCGATCGGAGGACAAACGAACAGACACGTAATCCGTAACCGTAGGATTAAAGTAGGAAATCCAACGGTAGGAAAGAGAGATACGCAGGAGTGGGGGCGAGATTCGAGGCAACACGGGTCACGAGGTAATCATGAATTTTGAGCAGGCGAAAAGACGCGTCCCAAAAGGGCGGACAAGTGGCGAAATTTGAAATCCAAAAAGCACAAAGTGGCGGTTAGAAAAGAAAGTAAACGCGCAAAAGAAGGAAATGTGTCAGGTGGTCGAAAACAAAGAAGCAGAACCTCCTCGACATAGACCAAAGCTTACTCTCAGATCGAGTCATTTAGACTCGACCAGAGTGGGGGGACTAGATGATATGGGATATTATATACTAGACCGGTTTGTTGGGCTAATCGGAGAAAATAGATCAGTTCGTCGGGTTAGCTAAATAAGACGGGTCAAATGGAATGGTCGAACCGGACCAGACACCTGCAACGAAGGACAGAGAGCAGACAGCAGAGACGAGTGGGTTCAAAAGTGATCGACAAGTACCGGTTACTCGAGGAGTTAGTCGAGGAAGAATGGTCGGATAGGTCGCGGTTGTACAGACTTGGTCGAGCAGCAGAATGCACAAGAGAATCTCCAGCACGTGAAAGGAGGACACGCGGCATCCTATGAGTGGCCCATAGCTATAACGAACTCTGACATTCCCTGACAAATTGGACGCGTTCCGTAACGTCAAGGATAGTGGAGGCGCGGACGGTTGGCCAAACTCGCCCTACCCGCGGGTGTAGAACAGGTAGCTCGTCCCTATAAATAGGGACGAGAATCCTCACTCTTGAATACAATTTTTCTCATACTCTCACATATTTAATCATATATTTTCTCTCTCAAGATCTGACTTGAGCGTTGGAGGCTCTTCACCGGAAAACACCTCCGGTGTGGGAGTTTCGTGTAGGTTCCGTGTTCAACCGGCGGGGAGAACGAGCTTGAGGCAATTTCCAGCCGGTCGGGGTGCGAGACTTGTATTAGACTATTAATTTCGTTCGTCATGAATTTGATTTTGACTTATGGAAATTAATTGGTTCTTGAAAAGCCCTTCTCTTGAAATTGTTGAGTACGTATGGCGACCCACTTAGCATACATTACTCTCACTATTTTGAGATGTCAATGAATTTAAGTTGATGTTGTTGTGAGGATGTCAATCTTAACAGTTAAAATCAAAGTTTTTAATCAGTAAAATGTTTTTCGCGATTCTCGGGCTTCATTAAACATATCGTTCAATTTGTTATCTGCTATTCTAAAAGAAAACCAACTTACTGGCTCAAACCATATTGATTGGAAGAGAAACTTAGACATTGTGTTGACTACTGAAGGGTACAAGTATGTACTCACTGAGGCTTGTTAGGATGAGCCCAGACTGAATGCTACTAATAAGGAGAGATAAGAGTACGCTCGGTGGAAGAAGGCTGATGAGATGGCGAAGTGTTGCATTATTTCTTCTATGTCCAATGTTCTTCAACATCAACACAGTCTATGAACACTGCGGTGGAGATACTCTTCAATCTCAAGGCTCTGTTTGGACATCAGTTTAATGCTTCCAGACAGGATATCATGGGGACTCTGATGAATTTGCGTATGGCTGAGGGCATACCCATGAGGGAGCACGCCCTAAGGGTCATGGCACAACTTAATGAGCTGCAGGTCCTGGGAGCTTTTATTGATGGGGAAACCCAGGATGATATTATGCTCCAGTCTCTGTCGAAAAGCTTTAACCAGTTTCATTTGAACAACAACATGCATAAGACGTTGATGTCTCTTCCGAAACTGCTAGCAGAGCTTCAGTCGGTGACATTCATCATATTTTCATGCATTATGAGTGATATAGTGTAATGTTTAACCGTGTTTATCGTGGGATTGTGCACCATTTTGTTTGATTTATTAATCTATGATAGAGGTACATTTGTCGTTGGTTTTGTAGGAAATATGCCCGAAAGAGCATTAAAGATGGAATTGAGATGAAAAACGGCAAAAACAAGGTGCAGGCAGGTCACACGACTCGTGTGAACAGGTTACACGAGTCGTGTGGGTTGAAAAGATGACGAAACTGAGGAATTTTGCTTCGGCTTTTTCACACGACTCGTGTGTCAAGTGACACGGGTCGTGTGACATCACGCGGGTCGTGTGACCCGGTCGTGTGACCAGTCGTGTGAGTCTGGGAGTTGGCCGAAAGTTCGAGGAAAGTCACACGACTCGTGTGGCATGTGACACGGGTCGTGTGACGCGCAGAGTGACCAGCGGGAAATAGGATTCCTACGCGATTTTGTCCCTTTTTCGACCCATATTTGCCCTACAGTATATAAGGAACTTGGAGCACACGGTTTTGGGACTTTTGACACCATTGAAGACCTAGAGAAAGCACAAAGCACACAGGGGATTCGAGGAAGTCAAGATTGAAAATTCGGGAACTAACGGTGACAATAGTTCTTCTTTCTTTTCTCTTTTTCTTCTTCATTGAACTCATGGATTTATTTATTTTGCGTATTGAGAATATGTTTAGTAGCTAAATATCTTTGAGATTCTAGGATTTGCGAGTACTTGGATTATTTTATGAAGTGATTTTGTTTATTCATTCTGGTCTATCTTTTGTTTATCAATTTCTTGTGATTATATGAATTGTGTGAATATAGGGCTCGTATTTATGCATAGTTGTGATTGACTTTAGACCGAGAGGAGATAGTTGATTGCTAGAATTGGGAAATTCATAATGTAAGAGACTAAACAGACCGAGAGGTTGATAGAATCTTGCGAGGGAACTAGAATCTTATGAGCTTATGGGAGTTAGTTGTTCATCTTGAGACCGAGAGGAAATAGATAACAATTAACATCTACGATTTAACTTGTTCGAGAGAAAGGTGAAAATTACTTTGGCGATTATCCCTACGATTGGTAGAATTAAATAAGGTTTGAATGAATAAGAAAACTTCGCTAGAATAATCCCGAGGAAAGCATAGCCTAGAATCTATGTTCTCATACTTGATTTATTTAGAATAAGCCTTCTTTAGTGGTAAGAATTTATTTTGCATTCATTCTTTAGTTTAGAACAAAATCACCATTCAAATTTGAGTTAGTCTAAATAATATTTAATCGTCAATAGGTACTTAATTATTTTAACATCAATCTATGTGGAATACGACCTTGCTCGCTGCTTACTACAGCTACACCGTACACTTGCGGGTAGTGAAAGTATTTTGCAAACAAGTTTTTGGCGCCGCTGCCGGGGATTATGAGCCTTTATATGAGGCTTGGGAGCGCTACACGCAACTCCTTCGGACGTGCCCGCAGCATGGTTTTTCAGAGGAGCACCAAATTTGCTACTTCTACAATGCCATGGTGGATGCCTCAGCTGGAGGAGCTCTTTTGGGAAGACGACCAATCGACGCAAAGAGGATTCTTGAGGAGATGGCGGCAAATAGCTACCAATGGCTCGTCGAGAGAAATATGCTTAAGAGGGCGGCAGCTACAAATGAGATGGACACAGTGGCGACAATGGTAGCTCAAGCGACCGCAATTGTGCTTAATAAGTTGCAAGTGGGGAAGAATGAGAGCGTAGGATTTGGGGAGTCGGTTGAGAATGTGAGTTATCTGAATGACCGGAATTTTGGCAATTTTCAAGGACCTAAAGCGGGAAACACTTATTACCAAGGTAATCGGAATCACCCCAGTTTTTCATATGCAAATCCGAATAACGCTCTACAATCACCTCCTGGATTTTCAGTGACCAACGGGGTCATCAGTGAGCCGAAAAAGCATTCATTGGAGGATATTTTTGAGAAATTCATGACTAGGACGGATAAATGTATAAGTGAGAATGATGCACGGATGAAGTCAATGGAACAGCAAATTGGGCAATTGGCCATGGTAGTTGGAAGTCTACAGCAGAGAGGACAATTTCCGAGCAATACCGAGGT